TGTTACTGAATCTCTGAAATTAGAAAAACATTTGCTCTTTCCTTATGTTTGGTGTCCAGCTCCCCAGGTCAGTTTTTGCAATCCGTTTGAGCCTTTCTCACAGAGCTATTGAATGTATCAAATGAGATAACATATGTAAAGTGTTTTGCAAGCCTTACAGTGATTTACAAATACTAGTTATTGTTACTATTACTATTACTATCATTAGCTCTCTACCAAGTAGCCAGTTTAAACAGAAGCCTTGAACTGAGGATAGTTGCAAGGCAGACAACCTCTTTACATCTCAGCCTGACAAATGAAGGAATAAAATTCTGTAAAGCCAAGAGCTTTCCTCCAAGTGACAGGCTGCTAGAGGTCAGACTAGTCAAGGGAATGGAGCAAACGAAGCTGTTCACAAAAGAAAACAAGACATAACATCAAAGCTCAGGGAAAATGTCTTCCCTTTCACAAAGCCACGTTGTACTTGTCAGTCAGGGGAAGCTTCACTCTCAGAAGCTCTAATTCAACTCTCCCTTCCTTCCCCACCCCAAAACCTTTCTGTTGGTGAAACTGTGGAGCCACTTAGCTTTACAATGGCCTTGGCTACTTCAAAGGCCCAGGGCTTTTAGTCATGCATCTTTGCCTCCTTCCAACCTTTCACTGAGGGGGGAGTGGCTGGTCCAACTTCCTCTCTCTCTCTTTGAATTCATCTCAGAATTGAAGCTGGGGAGTTCCAGTAATGTGAAGGGTCCTGATTTGAATATATTTTCATGCTTTCTGTGGAACCTTGAAATAAAAAAAAACTACTCACTGTAATCCTTTTCCTTAAACATAGAAATAGCATTGAAATCATAGTTGTGTCAGTGCTTAATAAGGGAATTTGAAAATTTGAAGGGTTTGTAATTTCCATATATTGGGAAAGCCTAGGTTTTTTTGTAGTTTTCTTCCAAAAGTCCCTATTTGTTCTGCCCAGCAGGGGAAAAGACGTTGCCATTCAATTCTTGAGGAAAAAGGACATTTCCTTGGTTTTTTGTCCTCAAAACAGGTTATATTTTGGTTTTTAGTGTACAAAAGTGCAATGTGGATGTTGGACTATTAAAGGAATCATGAATAAGAGCTTCAACTTATATAATTCTTTAAGGCTAACAAAATATTTTCCCCCAGAAACCCTGGGAAGATTGTAATGCAAATATCACCATCCCAGTTTTACAGATGGGAAGCTGAATGTCCAGAGGTTAAATAATTTACCAAAGGCAAGATTTAAACCCTATTATCTTGACTCCAGATCTGTGATTTTCACCATACCAAACTGACAGAGTGAAGCTTTGTGTTCATCAGAGACTAGTTTACTGGGTGGTTTTATGTTATTTGTTTGTTTTGTTGTTATGGTTGAGTCTTTTTTCAGTCCTGTCTGATTCTTCATGTCCCCATTTGATTTTTGTTTTGTTTTGTTTTGTTTTTTTGTCTTGGCAAATATTGGAGTGATTTACCATTTCCTATTCCAGTTCATTTTACGAGTGAAGAAATTGAGGCAAAAGGGTTAAGTGACTTGTCCAGAGTCACATAGCTAGTAAGTGTTTGAGGCCAGATTTGAACTTAGAAAGATGAGTTTTCCTGACTCCAGGCTAAGTGCTCTATCCACTGCATCATCTAGCCGCCCATTTTGTTTATAGTTTTATGTATTAAGGGGAAAAAAAATAGGATAAACGTGGATGCAAAGTAGGTTTCAGTTTTCTCAATAAAAATCAAATGAAAAGGCAAGGCTAGATGACTCCAATGTTCCCTTCTGTCTCTAAACTTATAATCATATGCTTCTCAAAACTTTCTGGCATATCTGAAACCACGTCTGAAACCAAAGAAAATTTTCTAAGCATTTAATAGCTTCTTTTACACCCCTCTTTTCATGTATACATTTAGAATTAGGTCCATAGTCTTCTTCATTCCACAACCAGCTCTCTCTTTAAAATTTTTATTGATTTATTTTATTTTTAATTTATGGAATAAAATAAGCATTTCCATGACAGTATAATTTTTAAAAAATGATTGCACATGAAACTGCAAACCTCTTGTGTACAGCTTGCTAATCCATTTAAATATATAATAAAGTTATTGTGTAAGTTTCCTTTTTTCCCTTTTTTTCTCTCTCTTACCGTAGAGATGGCTACCATTAGACATAAATATGTGTGTATATGTATATGTGTACATGTATATATATGTAAAAATCATTCTATACACACTTCTACTTAGCAGTTCTTTCTCTGGAGGCAAATGGCATCTTCCTTCATATGTCCTTTGTAAATAATTTGGGTATTTATAATAGTCAAAATGACTTATTTGCTCAAAGCCATTCTTAAAACAATATTGCTGTTGGAGGCAGAGACAAGATGGCGGAATAAAAGCAGTGACTTGCTTGAGCTCTCCCCTAAAGCCCTCCAAATATCTATTAAAAATGGCTCTAAACAAATTTTAGAGCAGCAGAACCCACAAAAAGATAGAGTGAAACAAATTTCCAACCCAAGACAACCTGGATGGTTGATGGAAAAGGTCTATTTTGCTAGGCTGTGGGAGGAACACAGTTCAGCACGGGTGTACAGGCAAAGACTAGGCTTCAGTGAACCTGGAGCAGGCCTCATAGGACTGAATCATGGGGAGCTGTGGTGGTTTCCAGACTTCTCAACCCACAAACGCCAAAGACAACTTAGAACGGCAGTAGCAAAAGTCTGTCACAGAGGTGAGAGAGAAACTCAGCCCCAGCCCCAATCCAGCACAGCCCAGTGGCTGCTGCATGAGCTCTTGGCCCACAGACAGAGGGGGAATTGAGTGGCTGATCAGAGGGGAGATTACAGAAATCTATTGCTGGAACTGAGACAGGAATCTCTTGCTTTGCCTGTGCTTGGAGCTGAGTCACAGCTCTGGGTGGCGGTCCTGGGGCAAGGAGGAGTGCTGGCTTGGTGGAGCTTGTAGTGGTGTACAGAGAGAATCTTCCTCACAGTTCCAAGGCAGAAAAAAGTGCTTGTGGTCACTCATAGACCAGAGCACAGGCCAAGAAAGGAGTAAACACCCTTGCCTTTGATTGTACCACCTTGGAGGAATGGAAAATTTACAGGTCCCTAGAAGTATCTCTGAAAAGAGCTGCACATAACCCCCGAAGCTTGGGACAGTACATTCTTCACACTGGAAGCAGACCTCTACCTTAACAAAGAGTTTATAACTCAGGTAATTAGTTGAGATCATGAGCAAACTGCGCAAAAAGAGTCAGACCATAGAATCTTTCTTTGGTGACAAAGAAGATCAAAACATACAACCAGAAGAAGACAACAAAGTCAAAGCTCTGACATCCAAAGCCTCCAAGAAAAATATGGATCAGTTCTAGGCCACAGAAGAGCTCACAAAGGATTTTGAGAATCAAGTAAGAGAAGTAGAGGAAAAACTAGGAAGAGAAATGAGTTATGCAAGAAAATCATGAAAAAACAATATTGCTGTTGCAATGTTCTCTTGGTTCTGCTCATTTCATTCTTTATTATTTCATGCAAGTCTTTCCATGTTTTTCTGACATCCTCAAGCTCATCATTTCTTATAGCACAATAGTATTCCATCACAGTCATATACCACAACTTGTTCACCTACTCCCCAACTGATGGGCATCTCTGCAATTTCCAGTTCTTTGTCACCACAAAAAGAGCTGCTATAAACATTTTGGAACATACAGGTTCTTTTCCTTTTTCCCTAATCATCTCTAGCCACCAGACTGAAGTGGCTACAAAGTTGGGCATCTCTTCAGCCCTACATGTCACTATTCAGTGTTGTGCTAAATAACAATTACTCAGAGAGTACTCTTTGACTGATGGTCCTGCAAAACTCTAACAGAAATTAAGGTGTGAACATGATCACTATACTTTGTGAGCACCAAACAAAGCTTAGCGATTTTATACTGTCTTGGTTTAGTTATTCTTTGAGAGTGAGAAAGGGTGTTATGATTTTGTGTTTCTCCATAGGAGGCAAGGGGGAGGGATGGTAAATCTACCCACACCACTAAAAAGCTGTTGTGGGAAGTACCAAATTCAGCCCATTGGAAGATGTGCAACCTGGGCCTCTCACTTTAGAGGACTCAAAAGCAGATAAATAAAGGCTTAGAGGAAGATGAGAACAAGGATGGTGGTGATAATTTGACACCTCTTTAGCAATTCACAGTTTGCAAATGTTTTCTTCACAATAATCATGTAAGATGAGTAATACTAAAGAAATAGGATGCATAGAAGTTAAGCACAGCAAATAGTTACTGAATGAACGGATGAATGACTTGCTCAAGGTCAAACAGAGAATAAATGTTAGAGCTGGTATTGAAGCTAGCACTTATGAATCTAAATTTAATGTTCAAGCCATTATATCATATCCTTTCCTCTACCTTAGTAGCTCTCAAACCTTTTGGTCTCACAACTGTTTTACACTCTAAAAAATGATAAACGACCTCAAAGAGCTTTTGTTTATATGGGTGATAGCTATTAAAATTTGTCATATAAAAAAAGTAAAACTGATGTGTGTGAAAATATCAATTCATTTAAAAATAATAGCAGCCTATTGTGTAGTATTATAAATAACATATTTTGTGGAAAATATCTATTTTCAAAAAATTACAAAATAGTGGCATTATTTTACATGTTTTTTGCAAATCTCCTTGTCTGGCTTAATAGAAGAAAAGCTAGATTCTCCTATTTGTTTTTATATTCAGTCTGTTGTGCTATTTTCTTTTGCTTGAAGTATATGAAGAAAATCTGTTCTCTCACGCATATGTAATTTGGAAAAAAAGAGTATTTTAGTAGACTAAAAAGTCTTAGTATTATTATGAAAATCATTTTGACCTCACAGATGACACAAAAGAGTACTGGGGCTCCCAGGGATCCTTGGAAAACATTGTGAAAACTGATATCCTTCTCAATCACATGTCCCCTTTGTTGTGTCTCTTTATGTTCAATAGTAACCTTTAAGATCCAAATGAACAGACAAGCAAAATAGACACTCACCTCCATTGATGTGTTGGCCATTGTTGTCTCTGTTAGAAAATCAACCCTCATCTTCACATTACTTGTCCCCTCCTCTATCTCCCATCCCCAATAACCTCTTCAATTGATTCCATTCATTCACTATGGTAACTGAGAGCTCTTTTATACTAATAACTGACAAAATATTTGCATTTCATATAGCTGATTTAAAAAAAAGAGGAAGGAAAGAAAGAGAGGAAGAAAGAAAAAAGTAAGAAGCAAAGAAAGAAAAAGAGAGAAGGAAGGAAGGAAAGAGAAGAAAGAGAAGAAAAGAAAGAAAAAGAAAGAAAGGAAGGAAGGAAGGAAGGAAGGAAGGAAGGAAGGAAGGAAGGAAGGAAGGAAGGAAGGAAGGAAAGAAGGAAGGAAGGAAAGAAGGAAGGAAAAGCTTGTCTGATCACTGGCTTCTAATGCATTTTTAAAGCCCTGATCTGAATCATACCATTGAATTAGGACCAAAAAAAACATCCTGTGATGCTTGGCTGTATAATGACACAAAAGGGCAGAAACAAAAATGCCCACTGAAAATTTATAAGTGTTGACACTGGTGCTAAAAATGATTAAATCAACCACATATTGTTAGAGTCTAGACAATATGCAAAGGATTTATGGCTGATTCTCCCTAATTTAATACTTATCTAAATGAAATGATTCTTAAACACAGTACAAAACCCACCCACTCACACCCCCAACACATTACTCTAGTTAAATATCCAAAACACCAGCTGCCAAAATAGCGTGCTTCTATACCAAGAGCTATGTAAGAAACTTCACAGATACAATTCACATCAGGCTTGACATCTGATGGATTTCTTAAAAATTCAAATCCCTTGCATTTACATATTTTTACCATGTCCATACCTGGAAGTCCACATTTGAAAAGTTCTATGACCTCACTTTACCAAATAATAGCTAATATTTTTATGTTTTGAGGTTGTCAAATGTATATATCATGTTTTTGCAGCCTCACAATAATCTTATAAGGAATATGTATTAAGTATAATTATCCTGATTTTATAGCAGAGGTAGCTAATGCTTAGATAGGTTAAATGACAGCTACCTTAGGTATCCACTTAGTAAATTTCATAGCAGGCTTTGAATGCAGATCTTCCTGACGCTAGTGATAGCACACTATCTACTATACCATATTGCCTCTCTAGCTAACACTGCTACATTTTTCTTCATAATACTATTGTTTTTCATCGAAGTTCCTATCAGTAATTACAGTCCCTTTACCCAATTTTAAAAGGCTGGGCTATTCCTGAATAACTATGATTATTGCTAGGCAAGTAAAAGGCATGCTGATTTAATCCATTTTATTTTGAGTAAACCAATCCATCAATAAGGATTTATTGGAAACTTATTCTTTGCCTGGCCAATGCTAAGCATTATGGAGTTAAGTAAAAGGAACACAAAATATTCCTTGGAAAAGAAAAAGGGGGGAGGAGTGGGATTTGAAAGATATTTGAAAGAAGTTATTTCTTAGGCTATTTCAAATCCTAAGGGCTCTTGCCTCTAGTTAAAACTGATATAGTTAATTCTGTCAGTACCAGTCTTCCCACAGTTGTGTAATTTTCTTGGCTTTGTGATAACACAAAGCAGACTGAACCTCAGCAATGATTCCTTCCTATGCTTCTGCTACCTTACATTGTTCTCAAGAATTCTATAACCAAATAGAAATAACTAAGGAAGAATTGAATAATAAAAAGTGTATGTAGAACAAAGTACCAATTAACTGCAGCCTGATTTTGGAACCATAATTCCTGCAAACTATGGAGAATAATGTTGTCCCCTCCACTAGAATGTGAGCCCTGTAGGGCATAGACTGTCTTTGGCCTTTCTATACCCATCTCTTAGCATGGTGCCTGGCATGTGGTTGTTACTTAATAAATGTTTATTGACTGATTGACTCCAGTTTCTAAAGGCATAAGTTCTTATGCCTATGAATGGAAAACAGGTGGAGGTACCAATGAAGGAAGGGAATCTTTCGTAAAGTCACTAAATTTGAAGTGACCTTTTCCCAGAGAAAATTGTGAGGAAAGTAAACTCTCATAATTGCCCTGTTTCTACTTTTTCTCTTCCCTAGTACTTCAAAGGTAACTTTTTTCTCCCTTCCTTGCCTATTTTTTTCTTTTTCTCCTCCCTTCCTTCTTTCCCTCTTTCCTTCCCAAACTTGATTTCATTGATGTGGGAACTCAGGTTGAGGAGACTCCCTCTACCAGTACCAATCTACAACAATCAATTTTAATCTTTGATAATTCCTTCTTCATTTTTTTCAGACTTTCTCTACCATACGACAGAAATCTCTTCAACCTAGGAACCTCCCATAACCCCTGGACTTCATACATTAGAAGTACCCTCCCTTTATCCTCTCCCTTTGATTAACTGGTTCCTCCAAGAACCTCCAATTTAAGGAGGACACCCAAGCCAGCCATAGCTTCATTCCTGTCTAAGATATACTTCTAATTGTTGGGAATTACTCTGCTACGGCACCTTCTCCCTCTTACAGCTTCCTTTTATATGTTGTCTTTCTCCTTGTAAGCTTCTTGAGGGCAGGGACTGTCTTTCTGCTTATATCCCTACTTCCAATGCTTAACACAATGCTTGGTGCATAGTAAACACTTAACAAATGCTTTTTGATTTGACATGATATTATATCAACTACTAATTAAAACTTTATCTGATAATTGTCTGATCACAGCTTAAGATAGGTTGAAGAAGATGGGAAGTAGGGAACTAACATCCTCAGGAGAAACTGACTCCTGGAGGAAAGAGATGAATATGGAGCATGAGAAACATCCAACAATAAGTTCCTTATTTAACGAAGACACTGCAGGAAGAACCTTGTACCTGCTCTTCTCTAATGTCAGATACTCAAAAAATGTTGCAGGAAGACAAACCTCCAAATACAAGCGATTATGACTCTCAGAGATTAGATCCCCAGTATTAGAACCTGTTTATCTTGAGAGAACACTCAGTCATGGGTTATAATTATGTTATGCTTAGCTGGTGACAAGATTGCCTCAAGGCCAATAAATACTCACTAGGGAGAGGTAACTGGGACACAGCACTCTTAGGAGATAGAATAGCCATTGGAGCTGACATTACACAGATTTCACCAGTCAAGACAAGATTTTTAAAAGTTCCCAACTCTCTTGCCTGTCTTGGGCTTGAAAGGTGCTGTACCAACTCTTCTCCTCCAACACCCTCAACCAAAAAAAAAAAAGGGGGGGGAAGGAAATTTATTTTATAGCAATAATATTCTCCTAAAACATGTATTTGGAGGATTGGAAAGAAAAAAGTTAACAAAAGCTAAACAACTTATAATATAGGCAGCAAAAGTCAAAAAAGCATAAAATAAAAATGAATAAATCAAATTTCCCTCTTAAGAAGAGAAGCCTAGTACCAGGCAACTCCCTAAAGCAATTGGGTCTTGGGTTGTTTGGAAATCATTCCCTCACCCTCAGGTTAGGAACTAAACTAGCATGGATTTAAAAAAAATGTCTCCCTGGTATTTGAGAGGTCCTTAAATTGCATAGGGCAATACAAAATGGAGGTCTGGATTATCTGGAGATGATGAGAAATCAAATAAAATCACTGAATTACAGAATCTGAGAATTGGAAAGAGCCACAGTAACCATCTGGTTCAACATATACACAAAAGGAAATTCCTATTATAATATACCCAACAAGTGGTTATTCCATCCCTGCTTGAAAACCTCCAAGGAGGGGAAATTCACCAACTCTTGACCAGCCCATTTCGCTTTAGACACCTCTAATAGAAATGTTGATTGCTTTGTTGTTTATTTCCCCTAACTTTAAGTCTACATTTCCCTCTTTGCAACTTATACTCATCAACCAGATCAAGTCCAATCCCTCCTTCCTATACTCTATAGGTTATCTTCTATATGTGCTTCAGTTGGCATTAGTGATCACAGAATCACTGCAGACTCTATTAAGGAATGCTATGATTCCATATATGCATGGGAGACAATTTGTTGGAAGGGAAAATTTAAGATAAGACTTTGTTTTACCCAGTCAAAGCTAGAGATACAAAGATAAAAAATTATATAGTCCCTGTTCTCAAAAAGTTTATATTCTAATGGAGAGAAGATTGTACAAATAATTGTAATTTTAAGCAGAATTAAGTAGAATTTGGGTATAATTAAGTAGAATATGTGAAGTACAAATGAAAGGCCCAAAGTGTAACTTAAGGAAGGAAAGCTGTCTTCCAACTGGGGCAATCAGGGAAAGCTTCATAAGAAAGGCAACATATGACCTGTACTTGGAAGGGGGAACATATATATACATACAACAGGAAGTAGTCCAAAATGAATGAGAGTGGATACAGGCTGTAGATGCCTGTAAATGACAGATTGACTAATTTGTATTTTATTCTGTAGGCCTGGGAAGCCTTTAAAAGTACTGGCAAAGGAGAATGGCAGGATAAAACATATGCATTAGTAAGATTATTTTGAAGGCAGAATAAATGATGGATAGGGGCATAGATTGATATAATATAAATTAGAATGTAAGCCAAATATCTTTGATGTCACGTGCTGGAAAACTCTATCCTGAAATATGTACCCCAAACAGGCTTATGTTTGATAGGAATTTTCTCTGATTCAAATAATTTATATATGATTCTTTTACAATTATTTGATTCAACATTCATTTATTCACTTGTTCATTCATTCATTTGTTTTACTGAATGATAATTATGTACTTGCCACAGAAGCTGAACTGAGTAGAAACTGGAGTAGTATAAGATATGGTAAATGTCTACTAGAGACTTGTCCACTGCCTACAAGTAAACTAGCCTATTTCTCCCCCATCCTTAAAAAAAAATCCCTTACTTTATCCATCTGTCCTTGCTAGCTATCAGCCTATCTCCTCTCTCTTTTATGGCTAAACTCCTTGAGAAGGACATCAACAATTTATCTCTTCTCACTGTCTTAGGAGATGTGTAGGAGGCCCAGTGGATTGAGTGCCTGGAGTCAGGAAGCCCTGAGTTCAAATCCAGCCTCACACATTTAATTAGCTGTGTGTGTGACTTTGGGCAAGTCATTTAATCCCTGCTTGCCTTACTCTACTGTAGAAGGAAATGGCAAACCACTCCAGTATGTCTGCCAAGAAACCCCATTGACAATAGGGTTGCACAGGCTCAC